AAGTCAACATCCATATCGACTGCGAAACGACTCGCCGAGGTTCGTTGCTGATTTAAAAGAGATTTAATCAAGCATGAGGAGATGGAGTAGAGGCAGGGATGGATGCTTTGTGAGCGTTTATTTTTTGGGGCATTCGATCTATCGAATAATGATTAGCGGCGATTCCAATCGTGAATTTATTGGGAATTGTTTACAGTTTCTGGGAGACGACATGGTGAAAGATGCGGGTCTTGCGTGTCGTTTCATTATCTCGAAAAGACCAATCGGCTCACCCGTGACCGATCGTGCCATCCCACTTGCGATATTTCAATCAGCACCAGCAATCGCTGCACATTACCTGAGGAAATGGACTCACGACAGTGAGATTACAAAGGATAATATCGATATTCGTAAAGTAAGTAGTGCATAGTTCTGTTGTGATTCTCTTCTTCATTCGGATACTCGTTTGTTTATTTCTAGAATTTGTTTATTTCATAATAGTCATTCATTTGCTCACTTTATTTTACCTTTTAAGGTAAGGGTTGTGCGTATTTGGGTTTATTTCGTATTTGGGTTTATTTAGATTTGCATTTCTCTTGCATTGTACTCATAATGGCAGAATCGCCTTCAACACGGAGTTAATTAAAAATGGAGCGAGCGATTTCCATCGCGTTTTCTATTGTAAAACTTTGAGAGAGTTTATTCTCGAAGTTTTTCGTGCTCTGAACTGATTGATACTGATCACATTGCGAACACACTGATCACTACTCGAATTCTTGTCGCAGTAATTTCGCTCGAATTCAGATAATCGATTGGGAATATTATATCGAACGAGTTGGTAATACCATTCAGAAGATTGTCACCATTCCGGCAGCGCTACAAAATGTGCCAAATCCCGTTCCCCGAATACCCTATCCAGACTGGTTGGAGAACAAACGTCGTCAACGTGTCAACGATCATAAACAACCAAAAATCAACGAGATGTTCCGATCACTCTCGAATAACGCGAATAATACTGATGATGGTACTACCAACAATGCCAGTCAGCGACAACGTGATATCGAAGATATTACACCTCGAATACGAGTAGTTGGAGATGGAGATGAGGATATTGAGACACTCGAAAAGGATTCATCGCTTTCAACAAACGGAGTAGGAAATGTTCGGTTTTTCGTTTGAAAATTGGTTGAATCGTTTGCTCATTTGTTGGAAGATCGTACATATCGTAGTTAGAGACATACAATAAATTCAGTAGACTAAGGAACTCGGTAAAAGTTTAATCAGTGACACATTCGGAATGTTAGTTGCTGAAGAATTTTGTGAGAGTGATGTTACATTGAAGATGTTTAGCGCGAAGGCAGTATTTTCATCGTGACTAGCATTGTAGCTATGCATTAAGTAATGGCGATAATGACAATAATTATAAGAAAAGCGATAATAAAGATACAGTGGTAGTAACACAAATAATAACAGTAATGATATTTTATTTACGCAGTCAATCAACTCTCGTAGAGAAATT